ACTTACTACACATGGGGCACAGCCTGGGACATCAATATAGTTTGGGGACCATGAAAATATTTTAATTTGCCTCAAAATAAGAAGAAAAACTTTTAGACGCAAAGATTATATTCATGTTGATGCCAAGAGAGTTTTAAAATGAAATGTTTACTATTCTTTCATGGGGGATAACAGCAGATGAAGGCCTTACTACATAGGGTTCCTGTAAGTCATAATGCAACCCTGGTTCTTGGTCTCTTTTTCCAGAAAATTTATATAATTGACATATTACTCTAATTTGGATATAGATTCCCAGCTGCTTACTGTTTGAGTCAACACTTTATTAGGACTTGGACAAAACTTAGGGTTAATTGTACTCATTAGGCCAACCTATGAATTATTTCAAGTCATTTTTAGTTATATATGTTTTCATTAATCTATTTATTAGTTTAATGGCTTTTTGTATTGAGCTAATTCCTCTCATCATTTGTGAACAATTGTGTTTTTAAATCTATAAACATTACTATGAGGTAAAAGCAATAAGAAATATAAGCAAAAAAGGAAGCAAAATTACCATTGGTTGCCTCAAATCTCCTCCCCCAATCCTTGCAATATATAAAACAGATATCTCCAAATACTTTAATGAAACACTTTAATAAATACTTTCTCATAAAAATCTTTCCTGAGAGAATAAACATCTTGTGAATGTATGAACTATTTGTTTCATCAGCTTATACTTTGTTGAGAGCAGTGGTTCTCAGATTTTCTCTGGGAGGGTGACTGGGTACCTGTAGAAGTACGGGTTCCTGGGTTTTGAAGCCAGGCTCCCTGTCTCAGGGACACTGCCAACAGCCCTGGGAAACTTTACTTTCAATAAGCATCGAAAATGTTCCTAAAAAAAAATAATCTCTGCAAAACATGCTGAGAATTCTGTCATCATATGGAATTGTCAAGTGGCACATAAAAAATAAGTCCCTTTTTTATAGTAACACCTCTAACAGTGCATAATTGGAAGAGTTAAGAAATGTTAATGTACTATTAAACCTAAATATTCTATTCTAATGTAGGAGACATAATGGTAAGTTTTCTTAATTAGCTGATTAGTCTCTGAATAGTGAGAAAAGATAAAAAATCAAACTGTTTATGAACATGCAATCTCTATAGATTTAAACAATACGCATTTTCCCTATCATTGCCCATGTCTACAGGACTAGAGAAACTAATCACAAATAGTGACAGGAACAACATTCCTGAGGTAAAAACCTTTGAAGGATGCGGACATGCAACATTATTAGTTAAATAATATATTCCAAAAGAAACACTTAAAGATTCTATTACATTTCAATTTCAGAAATTTACTTTTATGTATTTTTGCATTATAACAAATATTTTTTTAAATCTGAAATAATTTCTAAAATATACTCAAAACCTGCTGGACATGTGGAAACTAAATAAAATCACAGAAATAGAAATATATGTTGATTATAAGTATATACTTATTACTCTTTCTAGAATTTTACATACAGAATCATTTCTTTAAAATTTTTCATTTATTATTAGTTGATTCAAACACAGATAACACTTAACTCCTTGCAATTTCTTTCCTTTCGAAATAAGAGAAAGGTACTGAGGCAGTGGTGAATGGGTAGGTGGGGAGGGTGAGCAGCAAATCATTTCAGACAATTTCACACACAGGGCTTGTTGACATGAGGCAGGGCAAAGGAAATAACCCTGTCAGCACCTGCATCTTTAATGAAGGACAATGCTGCTGCACATGTAGAGAATAGAGAGGGAAAAATAAATCATGTTTAACTTTAAAGTGGGTTGTCAGATGTATTCAAATAGAAATACAACCTTCTATGCTTCTTCCGCCCCATAGATTTTTGTTTAAAATCTTGAAATATATACCTCAAAATCAACATTTTAACTATATATGTTCTTTAAATATTCAATTCAATCCACTATCTGGCAAACACGTATTTTTAAAACCTGTTATTTACCTTTTGTCTCCCCTAGTCTTCCTGACATCTGTTGCAATCAGAGGTGGATGTTTAAAATGTAAGATTCCTTTGTAGCATAGGCTGAATAAAGATGTGGCGCAGCCCAGATACAGTATGCCTCGAGGCCTCAAGAGATAATCACAGTCACGTTTTAAGAGAATTTTATATGTGAATAGGGGATGAGGTAAATTGACAAGAGGGATGTCTGGCAGCGGTTTTAATAATCAGGCACGTTTGATTTGTCTCTATAAGCAATGAAGGCAACAACGCAAATGGTTGGAGAGACCCAATCATTCCTAGAATCTACTACTTATTCATTCCTTTTCTCCTAAAACTGACTTACAGTTTATCAAAAATAGTTTTTCTTGATTTAAAATGTACAAATAATTTCAAGTCACCACTCTGACACACCAACCACTTCACATACAATAAAATAGAACTTAAGCAGTTTTAAAAATTTATTATGTAAGGACACAAACTAGAATATAGAAAACATGAGCTGAATAACCCATCCACTCCAGCATTATATACAAATGATGTCATAATATTGAATTACACCAAGTACCCAATTGATAGCTTGACTGAAAACCTCTTTATTATTGTGGTAATAAAATAATGTACATTATGATGGCTATTTTTATTGATCTTTATTTTATCCCCTAAGGCGCTTTATTTTTTCATTTTCTGACTTTTGAAATAAATTTCTGATAAAGAACGATATTTTCTTAAGGGAAAAAGTGGAAGTAAATAAGTTGAATGAGAAATGGTTTCTTTTTAACACACTGATAATTGGGTCTTCCCATCTTTGTTCCCTCTGTCCTCTGAACTAAACTCAATCCAGGGCCAGGAGCACTACTGAAGATAACAAAGCTAAAACAAGAACAAAAGCATCAGACTTCACTGCACCCTGAGATGAATGTGAAGGAGAAGAGATGCTGAGGCTGATGACGCCTTTCAGCAGGTTTTCTAGTTTCCCTCGCCTGAAACCAGTGCTCCCAGGTGGAGGCAGTTATGAAAATGGCTCCTACTCTGCAGGTGTGCGTTTTGAAAGCTAACAGCGTATTTCTTTTGACAGGCAAATTACATTAAATAATTCTTGAACTCTTGTGGTCCTGATCAAGAAAGCCATTTAATTTTATACATCTCATTTTTGAATACTCTTAGCTCTTTTTAAGGTGTAACCAATTGATTGCCTTTGTAACCAATCTATATATTCTATTGATCAATACATTCATATATATTGTTGTTGTTTTTAGTTTTGAAATACTTGCATGTAAGATATTGCAGAGTTTTGTCAAATTTTGTACCTAATTGTACCAGTTGATGTATCTTCTCTGAAATTATATAATATCTTCAATTAGAAAGGTAACTTTATATTCTAGATAAGCTTTACAAACCTTAACTTTCATTCTTCATGAGAAAAAAGTCAACTTTATATTTCATAGATAAATTTTCTGTGGATGAAATGGTATATTTATGTTCTGCAGATAAACCTTACACCCCACGTACATTCATGCATGCATTCCTTCTTCTAGATTAACATGATCAAACCATACTTGGTTATTTTGATATGATTACCTGATCAATAACTAGATCATAAACTTAATTTGTTGACTTGTAACAGTTATTAGCTTAAAATGCTACAGTTTACACCTAACTGTAACAATTACACCTATAAATGGATAGACCAATATAACTATATATCTACATAAGTATCTGTATCTATTTCTATAGTCATAACTTTCAAAGCACTTTCATATAAATGTCCTCTTTATCCTGACAATTTGAAAGACAGTGGATTATTTTGTATTTAAATTTTCATTTTTCATAATTCTTAAGTGTAGCATGACATTTTTTCATACTGACTTTTTTGATATTTGGTTCATTCACTAATTTTAATTATTCAACAGAGTTGTGGCAAGAGAAAGGCATATAGAAACAGGTTACAAATAAAAACTTGTACTATTTTTAATGTGTAACCAAATGCAGTTTACTATGACAGACTTTAATTTTCTGTATAGTTCCACCTTATAAAATGTTTTAATAAATCAATTTGTTTGTTCACACCCCCCTTATCTTTGAGTTCCAACTGTCAATCCTAACCCAGCATGGGAAAAAAATAATTCAAGCCTCTGGATTAGTTGAGAATCCTGATTGGTGTGATACATGTGATAAGTTACACTTAGTTGCTGAATATTAAAATAAATGAAACAATAAAACAGACAAATAAAAATTAAGCTTACAGTTTGGTTAATCAAAACATTTTATGCCATTCTTTTATCAATAACTTGGCTAAAATATGATTTCACTAAATATATCCAATTACCTTCATTTTGTTCCCATAGTGTTATCTGAGGGAAGGTGAAACAATATTTTGATTGTGTATCAATATGTTGTCCTATTTTCCACTATTATAACATTGGGTTTAGACTATTTCCTATTTTAAAAAGTTGAAGTAAAGCTTTTCATAGCAATGTTATTTCAGCACCATTAATAAAATAATAACTTCAAGTAACCAGGCTTTTAACTTCCCTGAAAACAATAGTAACTATGGCAGCAACAGAGCAGCTGTTACATTTTTATTCTGACAGTGTTCCGCCTGTTAATTAACATGTCACTACTCTAGAAATTTCAGGTTTAACAGTTTCACTTTTTGATATTCCTTTTCTAAGGTACAGATATGCATTGTGGCGCTGTTCTTTTTATGTTACACATTGCTTCCCTCCTCTGATTGTTCTTCCGTCCACTTAGTTAATACAATCACTTCCTCCATGTTTCAGTGACAGTGACATTTTCTAAATTTTCTCAGTTTCTCTAGGGAATGGATAAAGTGCTCTGTATTCAAGGAAAATATTTGATGCCTGGATTTTATCAGCACACATACTTAAGAAGCCATTCACACAGACTTAAACTTCCAACGGAAAAGAACAGATCTGATTTACAATACACACGGTAAAAAAGAATTTAAAGCAAAGATGAAATACTGGTCAAAGCCTGATGAAGCGAGTGCCTGGCACTTACCTGGAATGAGCTGTGACAGGAGCAGCTGTTCTTTTGACAAGCTGAGCAGTAATGTTATGACCAAAAAAGGAACATGTTTCCATTTCATCTTTGTCCCTTCCTTGCATTACACCCCGCCAGTGGCACAGATAGGTTTTATCTGTAAGGTAAACAAAACAGAAAATTATTTTCTTAATGGTTAGCCATGTTGAGATAAAGAAAATATTATATTTTGGTGAAAAATTCTAGTTCAAATGCATTTGAATGTCATTTTTTAAATGATAAAAAGATAAATGGTTAAACTTGAATATAATTTACACAGAATACATTCTAAGATATACATTTTGAATAAATGCAGCATTTATTAATTTTGAAAATGCATTTTCACTCAGATATAACAAACGATTTCTTCATTTTATCTGCCCTTTAGGGATACCAAGTATTTTGATTTTTCACCAATTTGGTTGGAACACTCTTGTGAGGTCTAGAAAACTATGGTTAGTCATTCACTAAACAAACATTTACAGATGGCTTTTCATGAGCCAGTCAGTATGCAACTTTGGGGATACAGCAAAAGACAAAAATATATATTCTCACTTCATTCAGGCACATGAATAATTTGAGGCCCCTTTATATCAATTTATAAACAAATTAAAAAAAAACTTGTAGATTTTCTATTCTGAAAAAGGCACTCTGTATCAATCATGATTGGCCCAAGCAACACATGACAGTGTCTTATAGGCAACAGTTCTTTAAGTCGGGGGGCCTCGGACAAAGTCATGACAAACAGCAGGTACTCGGTGGGAGGCTGTTCAGTGTCGCCTGGGAGAACTGACCAAACTTTCTGAAGAAATGGAATTGGAGATACAAGATAATATTTTATAAGAGGAGAAGAAAATTCTCTCTCTCTTTCTCTCTCTCCACAAACACACACACAGTGCCCCCCCCCCAATGTATACAAATACATTATTGATAGTTCAATTGACGTTTCTATTTTTTTCAGATTTAACCCATTGCAATTAGCAATTCCTCAAAGTGCATATAGCATATACATTTTTGGGACACCCTGTATATAGGGAGTTTTTTTTATCTAATTGATAGAGTTTTCTAGGATATAATATGATCAAAAATCAAAAAGATAAAAACAGGTTCCTAGGAGTCGCTGTGGAGTTTAATGACACATGATAATTGTCCAGGCTACTTAGAAAATGACTCTGGTGGAAATGTGAAGTATAAAGTAATCGTGAGGACACACAGCACTGGGTCATAGTCATAGGGCAGAAAGGTATAATGAACACACATCAAGGACATGGGCAAAGGAGAGGGAACAAATGATGGTGCTGAGGAGGGAGTCAGACAGGTGGCATTATACAGGTCAGTACTTTGTAGGACTTGGCAAATGATTAGATTTGGAAGACTGGAAGTGGAAAGACATTTATTCAGTTAATCTAAAATACATAAATAAAGCTAGCATGGTATAAAATGTAATCTGCCCCCCCTCAAAAAAACAACAACAAAGTTTTACCACATATTTCTGTGATACTCGGAATCTTAAAAAGTGCAATCTTGAAAAAGGATGACCAACTCCATTCTACACCGTAGGTTGATCTGCACAAATCTAGTGTCAATTTGTCTTTTTGAGCAGAGCTGCTCTTACTTTCTTATCACCGCAGAGTTAATTGCCAAGTTTTCCCTTAGCAGAGCTGCCTAATCCTCCTGCCAAACAGCTAAAGTCATCTGACCTCAAGAAAGATTTGAGGACTATTCCTTTACTCTTAAGAATAAGGTTGCCTCCAGAAAATATTATTGGTTACTGCAAGTTCATATTTGTTATTTATCCTCCTTGTCCTGGGGCTAATGTCTTTTCAACTTTCCTTATCCTAATACATGTCATAAATGACTTCTTCTTTCATGTGTTATCTGTTTTAAGTGTCAAGTGAGAGTAGAAAGCAGATTAGATTTCAGATAAATGCAAACCTAGATGAAGAGTCCTACTCTCCATTCTGTGCAGTTGTTAGCTTGTTCAGAGGCTCCTTTTAAGGACTATTCACTGACCGTTTTGGCTCACAGTTGCATTTCTCAGTGATGTACAGATTATTAGTTCTTTCTGAGAAAATATATAAATGTACTGCATCCTAGTAATTTCTGCTTGACTGGGTTTAGATATAATAGTTGCCCGCTCTTCTTGGATTCTGCTTGCCTAGGGATTTTCCCATATTTCTCCTCACTCTAATATTGGGTTACTGTGGGCACTAGAATCAGTGAGCTTGTTTTGGAATAACCTTAGACCTCTAATTCCTTAAATTGTGCATAAGTAGTTTTGTCTCAGCTTTTGATGTAAATAAAAGCACATTGAATTTAGAGACTTTATGATTTTCTCATTATTTGAAAATTTAAAATAATTTAATATTATTTGTTAAATAATACTTTAAAGTATAATTATTTAACCCGAGTCTATTATACCTATGGTTAATTATATTTAAAAAATTTCATTAACAATTACATATAGCTAATTAGTAACAGATAGCTGTTGAGATTAAAAAGTTCCTTATTAATCATGTACATTCTCCTTTTAAAATTGTAAAAAAAAGTTGATATAATAATTAGAAAATTCACCTAAAAAGATAAATATTTATTATAGTTGGCTGAACTCCTGCAAGTTTTATTCAAAAGGAAGATATTTATTTCAAACTTCTATAATGTTTTAGTATGAATGTCCATCACACAAATTTTTATTATCTAAGGACAAGTCTGTGAATTTACATAAATAGCTAGTAATATAACGATGTTAAGATAAGTCCCACAGATCAGAAGTGGCAGCTGCCTTATTTGCTATGCACATATATCATAATACCTTGAAGTTTTTATCCTCTGAGCCCTTTCTGAAAATGAAACCTCCCTAAAGTAGGATATAAACTTAATAGCAAATACACAAACCTCCCATTTAAAATCACACTATTTGACATATTAGCACTAGGACAATTGATTTTAATAAAGAATGAGATAGAACTAGTTTAGATGTTATCTGTGTATTACAATATAGTGAATTCAGCAACCACAAACATAACCCCAGTGAATATAAAGACACTTTTCCTCATACACACATCTATACAGTGCTATTATCCAAGTATTAAGCATGTGTATCCAGGCTCTAGATGGGCTAGTTAGATCATTGTCCTCATATGCCAAGGTTTAGGTTTGATCCCCGGCACATACAAGAATCAACAAGTGAATGCATAAATAAATGTAACAACAAAACAACAAATAAATCTCTCTCTCACTCTCTCTCTCTCTCTTTCTCCTTTCAATCTACATATATAAAAGGCAAGTGACCGGAATGATAGAATGACTGGAATGACCAGTCGCTATAACAAGCACTGCAGCAGCAAACCGGCCTGATAAGGCCCCAATTGGAAATATAAAGCTTGGTAACAATAATAAACTTGAAAAAGAGTAAATAAAGATAAGAGAGCCTTGACCATTTTGGCTCAGAGGATAGAGCGTCAACCTGCGGACTGAAGGGTCCCAGGTTCAATTCCAGTCAAGGGCATGTACCTTGGTTGCGGGCACATCCCCCAGTTGGGGGGTGGGGTGGGGGGTGGGGAGGCAGCTGATCAATGTTTCTCTCTCATCGATGTTTCTAACTCTCTACCCCTCTCACTTCCTCTCTGTAAAAAATCAATAAAATATATTTTTAAAAAAGATAAGAGAAACCATGTAGACGATTATTTAGTGTATTCTAGTAGGTATGGTGAATAGGATCTTATATAAAAGTCTGCTAAGTGGAATAAAAAGAGGAAATAAATATTAAGACATTTCAAAGAAAAGGCAACATAATTTGGTGGTGTATGGGACACTGAAGGCAGGTAGGTAGAAGGAAGGAAAAAAGGAAGGAAGGAAGGAAGGAATGACTTTGGTAAGGACGGATGTGAGGATGGCAGTGGTTTGGTTAATAAACCGCTATTGCTTCCGGGAAGGGAAGGGAAGGGAAGGGAAGGGAAGAGTGTTTTCCCAAAATTTCAACCTAGGTAACAGAAGGCTTAATAAGAAGTGTGTGTGTGTGTGTGTGTGTGTGTGTGAGCCAGGGCCCCAGCCTAGCTTATCTGTTTTTTAAAAAAAAATAGTTTATTGATTTTTAGAGAGAGAGGAAGGGATAGGGAGAGAGAGATGCATAGATGTGTGTGAAACACAGATCAGCTGCCTCCTACACACCCCCTATTGGGGATTGAGTCAGAATCCCGGGCATATGCACTTGCCAGGAATCAAAGTGAAACCTTTTGGTGCACAGGACAATACCCAACCCATCAAGCCACACCAGTCAGGGTTTTTTGTTTTGTTTTTTAAATAGTTGATGTATAATTTTTATAAATGACTGGCTAGTCTACTCTTACTCTAAAGTTCTCTAGAATAATAATATGCATATCTCTATAGTTATCTCCACTAAGGATTTATCATTGCTCTGTGTAGTGGGGATGTATTTACTTTAAAATATTAAGAAGCTAGAAGTGTTTAAAACCTTTTAAAATTTTAGGTTTAATGTTTACATATAAACATGGCAAAATAGACAAATTACTACCAAATTGTTGTGAAGTTTGAGCACTGTCACATCTCTTGTATAGAGTATATTATTTGAAAATTGCATACTACATATAAAAGCAGAGGATTGAGATCACAGATTTAGGGCTGAATAGATTAAAACACTGTAGCAAGATTCTTAGTGGTTTCTCAACCAATTCCTTGAAGATCCTGGATATGTAGCACAGCCACATGACTATTGACACATCAGTTTTATTTGAATGAATCTTGGACACATTAGCCTTCATTAGTTTCACAAGAGACTAATTCTCATCACATTTTCGGGAAATGCAACATTTGCAAAAATACTGTGGACGCTCAGGGCAAGGTGATAAACCTCATACTTTAATGAATGAGATGGTTTGAGACTCTTATTCTTATTCAAAATGTACTGAAATAACTTATTAAGTCATGTTAAAGACCCAGAAACTATTTCCTCATTTATTTAGTTCACTTAACACAATCCCATTTAGTAGTCCCATATAGACAGATATGTTCTGGACCGTTGTTGTAGTAACCTGGTTAATATTTAACAGGAAAGGAGTCAAGGGGAGCCTGGATGATATCGGCAGGTCATTTGTTTCA